AGGTTGAAATATATGAGGAAGCTTTTGAAATTCCTGCAGCAGATGACATACATGGAGAATTAGAGGATGAAATACTAGAAGTAATTGAAACAACGGAACCAATTCAGGAAGGTATCTGTACCACTAGCACAAATAAAACCTAAAATAAAATAGTACATCCTAGAAGTAAATACATATCCTAAATTTTGATTCATTCTTTATATTTAGCAAATATTACAATTTTGCAAACACTACTGAGCAATCAAATTTTATAAAACTGAATAGGATTTTAACACATTTTAGAGCTACAATATTAGCTAGTATCTTGTTTTGAAAATATACCTTGTGTGATTTATTTTTATTGCCATAAGCTTTCTTCTTTCTACTTTAGACATTTTTATTCTTTCCTGAACTGTTTGCTCAGCCAAGATCTGTTGGGAAATTTTACTCCTTCATTGTATATTTTTAATTTAAAAAATAATTTTTGCTTCTCAGACTATCAAGTGGATGAACCTGATGAAAATCAGGCGGACGAACCTGAAGTACAAGAGCCTGAAACAGTTGAGATTCCTGGTATGACTAGTTATTCTTAATGGTGGAATGCTGCTTTTGTTGCCTAATGCTAGATAAAACCATAGAAGCTAAAGACCAATAATTAAGTCAGAGTTGATTTAATATCCGTAATAGTATCTTTAGGAACCTCACAACCATCCTGTGAAAAGAAAGTTGCTTTACAGATACTCAGTTTCTAGAATTATTTGTGGGACTGTCATATCATAATAGCTCATCAGCATGATTATGTTCTAATGCAGTTATCCCAGTGTTAGGTTTAATCCTGACATCGATGTAAAATCGCGATGATGTGATAAATCACAAAAGTGGCAGCTTTACTTTTTAGTGTCTGAAGGTAAAGTTATTATAAGGTAATACACTGAATACAAACAAATGAGAGCAAAAATATGTAATACTGAATTTTAAAATGATAATAAAGAAAGCAGAACAGTGAGTGTTCATTCACCATCTTATTATTATTTCAGAAAACATGTGCACGACATCTTAACTATTTATGTAATAGTGCCTAAATTCTACAGTCAAGTTCAGGCCCCATTTTAACAGGTGATTGAAAAATACAGGTCTGAAAGACACCCCTAGCCCTAAATAGCTTATGATCTAATTTACTAATATGTGGCAAAAAGCTGTGGATAAAGCATGCAGAAATAGTGGAGAATCTAAAAACAAAAACAGTAAGCATGCATTAATGAATGTTAGACTAGATTCCTTGAGGATCTTTCCAGGTATCAAGGTCAGGATCACCAGCCCAACCTTCCTCTTCCCTTAAAGATCGGCGCTATCATCCTTTTCTGCATCATCCATAACTTAAGTTGCTTTCTGCATTCTGTAAAGGGCTTATGGTTTCTTTCATCTTCCTCTTACTTTTGACATACTTGTAAAATCCCTTTTATATACATTGCCATTTTAATCTCAAATCATGCCTTGGTCCTTATAATTTCCTCCCTGCATGCCTCTCTGATGTTTGTACACTCTTCCTTAGTATTGTGACCAAGTTCTACTTTTTCTAGGATCCCTTTTTGCATTTCAGTTCATTGGAGAGAGAGCTATTTAGGCAGACTAGTTTCCTGTTGCATTTCCTGTTTTATTTTTTGTCATATCAGGATAGTTTGCTCTTGCACCCTTAATCTATAAAGCTCAACCAGCTCTCCTGAACTCCTGTTCTCCCCCAGACTTGCCTTCCAGGAGACCCTACCCACTACTACCCTGAGTTTGTTGAAGTCTGCTTTTCTGTAGCCCATTGTCTTTATTCTGCTGCCCTACAAAAAGTGGAAACTTCCTTCCTCCCCTTAGGATTTTAAACTTTGTCATTTTGTGGTCACTGTAACCCAGGTTACCTTTCACCTTCACATTCTCAACTATTTCCTGTTTGTGAGCAATAAGTCAAGAGCTTTCCTCCTAGTTGGATTCTATACCATCTGTATCAAAAAGTTATCTTCAGCACACTCCAGAAATTTGTGAGGCTGCTTGTGCATTATTGTGTTTCTCACCCAGCAAATGTCCTACTAATTAAAATTCCCCATTAAAACCAGGTCTTGTGATTTGGAAACTCCTGTTATTTGTTCAAAGTAGGCCTTATCCACCTCCTTCTGGTTTGTGACATATAGCAGACAATGAAATATCCCCTCCTATTGCTCTGCCCTCTGACTTTTAGCTAGAGGCTTTCAGCAGGCCTATCTTGCACTTCGTACTATACCTCAGAACACATGTACATCTCCTTTTACATACAGGACAACACCTTTTCGTTTTTTCCACTACCTGTCCTTCCTGAGCAAGCTGTACCTGTCCATGACAGTGATCCAGTCATGTGATGATCTACCATGTCTCCATAATTACATTATGATTCTTTGATTGTGCTAGGACTTCTAGTTCTTCCTGTTTATTCCCCATATTTCTTGCATTAGTGTATGCACATTTTGGGTATTTAAGTGATTGTCCTATCTTCTCCCTAAGAACATTGCTAAGGCTTCTGTTATTGTTTCCCCATACTAAGTTTTCATCCTGGTTCCTTGGCTCTTTACTTAAGTCTGAGGTTTTGTCACGTTCCCTTGATGAACCTTGTTTAAAACCTTCCTCTCCAGGTTGGCAAGCCCTTTCACAAAGTAGACCTGTTCCCTCTCTTTGGCAGGTGAACTCTGTCTCTTCCCAGCAGTCCTTGGAATACTGCCCCATGGTAGAAGCCAAACACTTGGTGGTGACCCCATCTATGCAGCCGCATGTTGGTCTCCAAGATGCATCTACTTCTAGCTGGGCAGACAAAAACTATATATACAGTAGAACCTGGATACTTTTCCAGGTTCCTAACACCCTGTCAAGATGAAGTTATGCAGAGTCATAGCAAACAGCAGCACATATCTGCTGAGGTACTTGCCGAGCTACTCCTATTTGCTGTGGCTATATTTCGAAGAGTACCGCTTCTCTGATCAGCAGGTTCAGGACTGCTAACGAGCTCCAACGGAGTGGAGTAGTAGTACCCTTTGAAGCAGCTGAGTGACTCAGCAAGCAGCTCCAACTTAAGCAGGTTGCAAATGACCTAAAAACAAATGATTTGCACTCTACTGAGGTAGATGTATTTATATGGCTTATACAAATATTGACTGATACCTATACGTTGTAATGGCTTACTCCTGTTACCTTGTTTCATTCAGGATTAAAGTTGATAGTGATTTGGCTCATTGGCATTGCTATAACATGGGGTGAGCAATTATTTTGGCTAGCAGGCTATTTAACAAATGTTGGCAAGCTGTCAAGGGCCACACAATCTTTCAGAAGCTGTCATTTTAATAAATTATAGATAAAAAAACAAATTGTATACTACAAATCAAACATCTGCTGTAACCTATTTTAACTTCATTTTTTGTCACTTAAAATATTTTGTCCTGATTTGTTTTGTTGAGTAGTGTATTCAAAATAATAAATTATGACTCTTGTATATTGTGTGTGGGGGTGGGGGGTGTGCAGGGGGCAGCTCACACTCTAGGTCCCAGGAGATGGCCAGGGGTAGGGGGAGAGAGGGATGGGGGACAGGGGGCACGTGCAGCTCAGTTGAGGTACAGGTGCGGTCTGCCTCTTTCCCCCCCCTGCCCCCTCCCCCCTCCAATTCAGTCCATGGCTGCCCTCACAGTGTGGAGCCACTCCACTCACTCCTACCAGCACCCACTCCATGCCCACAGATGTTACTGCCTTGGCTCTTGCTCCGATTCCAGCCAGCATGCACAACTTCCTGTTAGGACTGCTGCTCCTGCAGCTGCCTGGGTACTGCTCAGTTCCCTCCGCCTCCAGCAGTGGCTCCTCCTCTTGCCCCTGCTACCTGCTGCCCAGAGCAGCATAGCATGGGGAAGTGGCAGTGGCTGTGGGGGCATGTGATGGGCACCACATACCCAGCCATGCTGGGGGGAAGCTGTAGGTGGGTGGCTTCTGCCCCAGCTCACAGGGCTCCAGCTCCCAGCTGCCTTCTATCTACTCTGCCTGCCCAGTGCAATGAGCAGGTGGCTGAGTGGGTGGAAGGCAGCTGTGTACACTGGCTGGGGTGGTGCCATCAGCTGGGTGTGCAGGCAGGAGTGTAACACTTGGATTATCTGTCTCAAGTTGTTACAGTTTAATATTACATTTTCTTGAACTGGTTTTCGTGTACTTCAGCAACAAGTGCTAGAAAAGAAAACAATGATGAAATAATTTTTCTATACTGTTTGGTTTCGGTGGTTGTCTACAAATATTTACTGACCAATGCTAGTAAAAGTTGGAGGAAGAGGAAGTGCAGTGACTTTTGAATGGCAGTATCTTTGTCGGCATCTTCTTATGTGGAGGTACCAGAAGTTTGGTATCCACTGACTATCAGATATTTTTTCTGAATATTATGTTTTCTTCTCATGATTGTTCTTACCTTGAATACTACATTTGAAATGTAGGCCCTAATAATTCAGTCTTTGTGGGTCTGTGAGTCCTAATTGTAGAGTTCTAGTTGCATATCTTTAATTTGTTTATTCTCAACCAGTTTTTCTTCTCCACATGGAGAGACTGAAGGCTGCCTGCATGCAGCAGTTGAGGATGAAAATATAATTACGTTAACATATCAGAACACTAAAAAAAATCACCTGTTTTTTGAATTTACAGTTTCATATAAACATGACCTGGTTCTGGAAAAGGCAACAAATGAGCCTGAAGTTTCAGGTTGGTACCCTATTTTAAAAGTATTGAAAGATTTGTATGCAAATTTTTATGCACTGCTGTTCTTCTGTTTTTAAATAGTTTGGTATATTTAAATAGCTTGTCATGTTTGTTGTAATATTAGATATGAGTATTATCCCAATTTGGGTTGCCTTTAGTTTTCAAAAAAGTCACTGTTTTACCAGAACAAAATAGGTTAGACTTCCATGGGTGAAATTCTCTTAGTGAAATCAGTGGCAAAGATTCCATTTACTTTGGAGGTGAAGAAAGGGGATGAGTGGGTGTCAGGATTTTATTGTATCCAGTGATGGTTCTTTTTCAAGTTTTAACCTCTAGAAAACATTTGTTTCCTGTGCTTACTTGTGACTCTGAAATAACCAATTAATAGAGCTTAAGACTGAAATGAACCACTGTTAGAACTCCTTCATAATGCAAACCTTAGTAGTTCACCTGTAATTGTGCATTAAACTAAATAACTATAGCAGTATCTTTAAGAGATCTCCAATCCTGATTTTAATTTTTTGTAAGAAAGTCTGCTGAATCCCCCAGTAAGTTTGTTCTAATAACTAATTGCCAAAACTGTTAAATTTTAACTGTTTACTGTTTGAATTTGTCTAGCTTCAAATTGCAATCAGTGGCTCTTTTTCTGATTGCTTGCTTGATATAAAAAATTGTACCATTGAAAATCTTATTATGTAGATTATGATCGAGTTAGCATTATGATTTAGTTGGCTCTTAATCTTCCTTTGGACCTAAATCAGGGGTGGGTAATTATTTTGGGTGAAGGGCCGCTTACTGAGTTTTGGCAAGCCATTGAGGGCCGCATGACAGGCAGCCGGGGCAGATAAATATTAATTTTCTAAATTTTTAGGTGCCCCGTGGGCTGGATAGAATGGCCTGGCAAGCCACATCTAGCCTGCGGGCCACATTTTGCCCATCCCTGACCTGAATAGATTGAACTACTTTAGTCTCTCACTCTAACACAGGTTTTTCAAAGCTTGAAACATTCTTATATTTTTCCCAAATCATCCTGTCTTTAAACTTTCTTTTTAATGTATGAAAACCATGATCTCATGTTAATTAAATACAAATATATGGATGTAATAACATTTCTTTATACAATCAAGGACTGAATGCTGGGAGTTCATGCTGAGCTGGTCATCTGTGGCACCTTCCTCCCTGCCTTGCCTAACTCCATAATCTATAGTGGATTTTCCATACAGCTTCTTTTCTTTGAGCTTGACCTACATTCTTTATTCCTAGGTGTGTGATGTTGCACTTCAGTATAGTAAAAGCTACTTGTTTGGCAGTGTCCATTTACTAGACCAGGAGTAGCCAAGCTGTGTCATGTGTGCCATGAGGGACACGGGGAGCCTCTGTGTATGGTGCACAGCAAGGAAGGGAAGGCAGTAGAATGGCAGGTGCATCAAGGAGCAGAAAGCAGAGAAGCAGATTAGGCAGAGAAAGGGCATAGAAGTGGCACTTAGGGTGAGCATAGTACTTTTACCACTTTTTCTCAGATATAACACACACTC